GCTTCACTTGGTAGTACGAATATAGTACGTCTGAAAATAACATTTTCCCAGCATCGGAGTGCAGTGACACGCCCAACACTTTGTTTTTCATTATGTTTCTGAGTAAATATAATTCATAGACAATAAAATGTGTCATTGTACAGTATCAGTAGTGGTTATCAACTTTGCGTCTGTGAAATTTTTGTGTAAACAGGAAGAGATTAGATTTTGCCTCAGTTTTTTTTTTTCGAGAAACGGGTATTGTTTTTAATCGGATTTAGATTAATATCTGAAATATTGTGAAAATAGTGTATTATTCGCTGAGTATCGAGAACAATAAATATAGTTTGAAAAAACACGCTTTTGAAGAACATCGAACTAAAAAGTTGAAAATATTTTTTTTCAAATAAGCCTAAAACAATAACGAATAACGAAAAATACTAGTATTATTGTGAAAAAAGCGTGGGCGCTAGATATACAAAAAATGTGGCACAAAGCCCCCAGGCTTTTTTCACAATAATACTAGTATTTTTCGATCGTTATTGTTTTAAGCTTATTTAAAAAAAATATTTTTAACTTTTTAGTTCGATATTCTTTAAAAGCGTGTTTTTAGGTGTACATTTTACGATAACGTTTTCATTGTTGAAATCCATACTTTGGTTTGATTTCAAATAATCGAATTAGATTTTTTAAAAATTTATCTTTCGTTTCGATCAAAACTTTTTTCTATACCAAACCAAACCAAACAAAATGTCGCTAAGACTTATAATTCTTAAAATCCATTTTTTATTTTGATTACCTTTTGAACAACTTATCAAGGAGGTTACATACAGCGTCATCTGCCCAAGAATAGATCAAGCAATAATGTCGATAATTCTGCCAATACAGATCCCGAGCTTGAGAGTTACAAACAGACATACAAACATACATACATACATACATACATACATACATACATACAGGTAAAAAACGGTCCATACATTATTTGAAGAGCTTTAGATATTAGTTTTTTTTAAAAAAGGTTGGTTGGGTAACAGGATCAATTATAAAAAAACAATTTTTTTTTCGACATTTTGAATTTGATTAAATTTTTCTTCAGGGCTCGAAAGGTAGTTTTTTCGTGTTGATAATATTACTATTTTCAAAAACCATCAGACATATTAGATACATATTTTAAAAAATAAAAAACATTGCAACAACCAAATTTCCGAGACAACATCCACACAAAACGACATGAAACATGAAGAATTTAATTAAATTCGAAACGTCGGCAAGAAAACTATTTTTTTTTCAAGAAAAAATTGACATGAGGGTTGTTGTGGGGAGGGGGTGCCTGACTAGTGGTTAATTCTCATTCAAAAATGTGCCCTTTTGAAAACTAAAATTGACGTGTTTGACGATTATTTCACAATCTTAATACCAAATGACTTATTCAGAAAAGCAAATTTTAACTGGAATGTATTCTGTATGTATTCTCTTGCCTTCGGTTGATTCTTCATTCATTTGACAAATTTTTAATATTGTGCAATTTTTGCTAATGTAGTTGCAAATATTTTCACTAGTATCTTTCCCGTAGAGCCTGATAATTCTCGATTTAATCAGTCTCTAAAATCCTATATATGTTTAAAATATGTTTTACCGTTAACCAACTATTGCACCCATACGAACGACAACCCTCGGATGTCGAAACTTGTGCGAGCTAAGGACTAACGAGGTCTTACTTTTTAATGTATGTAACGGCTTCCGACCTATGGATAGATAATATTATTTTGTTTCTCCAATCTTTGGTTACGTACATTTGTTCACTTCTACAGTTGTCTTAGCCTTGAGGTTTTGGCAGCTTCGATCTGTTTATTCTTTATGTCACGTTTTTCTGATATTATCCTCCGAGTTCTATTTTTGTACTCTCATCATGTCAAGAACTTCCATTGTAACTACTGAATAACCATTCCGATACTACCTACTTATCAAATTAATTAAAATTGAAATTTGCAATTTCAACAGAAGCTGCTAATGAGATTTTTAATTGGAGTGCAGTTATGCATAGCGATATTTTTAGAGTATCTTCGATTTTTGTTTTGATATGTAGATTCACTTTCGGTTGCCTCATTTGTAATTTGTAACGTTACTAATGATGGCATTGACATAATTGATTCCTTATCGTGAAGGATAAAATGTAAAGTGCGAAATGTAGAGCATGATGGTTAGAACGCCCGAAAATACAATAATGATGGAATATTCACATACAGACAATCCTTTGAAGCAGAAATGAGTCTATACATGAAAATAAAAAAAGGAGTAGGGGTTCCCCTTACAGTGGTGGCGCTGCATAGAGGGAAGATGTAAAGCATTCCTCCGTTCCAGTCGGGTTTGAATATCTTAATCTGTTCAAGGGGCATGGAAACTTCCCGGGTTACCTAGCCAGGTTCAACCTGGGACCTGAGGTTTAATGCCACTGTGGCCGGAGTGGGGGGGGAGCCTGAAACGGCAGAGCATGTGCTTGAGAGACGCATGGAGGGAGAGAAAGTTGGATGGCGGGAATGGAGAGCGACTCTAACGAGAAAACGGAGGAATGCAACTTAGGAGTGTGAATGGAAAAAAAAGGAGTGGATTCGCGTTGCGAATGAATGGGCAGAGAGTGTTGTGAGGGATGAAAGGGAACAATGAGGGGCAAGCTGTAAAAGGAATTCTGAGAGGAAAGATGGTGAAGGGTTCGCGCCCTAGTCCTGGCATGGATTTGGTGTGTGAACCTAGATTGTAAATAATTCCTGGAGGCCAGTGTAGCTGAGGTAGCAAGTAGTTTATTGTCGGTATCCTTCTTATTTTTTCTTTGTTATTCAGCAAGGACTAATGTGTATATAAGTGAATATAATTAGTTAAGTTTATGTTGAAGTCTGAATTGTAATTATGTTATTTTGGAAAATAAATGAAAATGGGTATTCTACCTCGCTGCTTTCGTCTCTTCGTGTGACCGGCGTTACGCGTCAACTGCACGAAGAGGGGGGGTGAGTTCGGAGGAGTAGGAGTCTTCCTAGTAGGACGATAGTGGCGAAGCGCGCGGTACGTTGCACTAACAGAACATCCATTTTGATAAAACAATTGTATTATTTGCACGTGTAGTTGAATGCTATATCCGTCCATGGTGATTTGGCCAAACAGACTGAATAAATGACAACTAATTTGTCAGATGTAGTTTCAACAAGATGGCCGTTATCAGTTGTCAAAGTTCGGAAGTCCCTATTGGAAGACCATAGTTGTCTTTAACATCGAATAATATTATCATAGTGATGATGGTTTGACTTCTTTCGCTTTTTTGGCAACCAATGCCAAAAGCATTGGTTTTCGTAAATTAGTCTTGACATTTGTCGAAGTTATTTTGATACCTCTTCAGCTACCTCCTTCTTTAAATCAGAAGGCAGTTGCGTTTCCTGCTCTTCTACGTTCACGTCTTTGTTGCACATCACTTCTTGCTTTTTTCAGTGTTTTCGATGCAGGTATAAAAATCATGGTAATGAAGGAAACCCATAGCAAGCCACTAATAGAACTTATTGAAACGATTGAGAGGTTTTCTACAAAACATGTTCTATAGAAAAGACTTTTTTTTATGTAACATAATGAATAATAATAATAATAATACCGTCTTTATTATCTTCTAATACATTCAAATCAAATTGATCATGTACAGTTCATTTATTATAAGAAGACAAAAGGCGAAGTTCAATTTACATGATGACAAGTCATCATTCAATTGTGAAATGGTGAATATTATTCACCATTTTACCTATTTTCACTTGATTTAGAGTTTTTACAAACGAGATGTTGAGATATAATGGAAATATGAAAACATTTTCAGCAAAATAGAACAGTCGAGAATTATCAATGAGTGTACATTATAAAACAACGCATATTCTTCCGCGATGTTTTGCGTTGCCGAAAGTAGCATAACTGGGAAAATGTATGAATCGCGATAATTTGCAAGGAAAAACACTTTGATAGCGTTATCTTGAACAAATGTTACGTTGTTTCCCAACTGAACTGAATATTCATTACTAGTGTTTGTAATCAACCAGTGAAACAGTCATGTTCCTCAACATTTATAATTTAAATTCGAGGTATAATTCTACAAAATATTAGCTTTTGTCCGTTATTATGAGTCTTTTTTAAACTGTAATATATCAGTGAATACTTATTCAATTCAATCGAAATAAGCATCATTTCAATCAGTACTTTCTTGTAACGTAACACAAGTCTATTAATTTCGTCAGCATAACAATTGGATACACGGATTTAATGAAGCCTACCAAGGCCGTTTCTGCCTGGTCCTTATTGGACCGGGCGGTGATTTGTGAAACTTGTGCGGATGGGCGTTGTCGAGAAGCATTGGACCTCTTCTGCTGACCAGTGCTAGCTGCTGCTCACCCAATTTTTGGTACATTTCGTCGACTTCCTCATAATAGGACTGCTATGATGGTTTGACCCGGTTGCTGAAAGTTATAGCCGCTAACCACCATACAGTAACCAGGATGGTCTTTTATTATGAGTTTTCTCATTTGGGAAGTGTCTGGGTGGCTAATTAGTGTTCAACCACTGTCCTGAACGTCTCCTTTTCCACTTTTCAAGGTTTCGACGTTTTCCTTACGTTTTGAACCACCAAAAACCGCATGGGAGCAGACGCCCAGTTCTTCCGACATCTCACGCACCATTTGTGATTGGTCTGGTCATGGTCCATCTACACCAAGTTCCTCAAACCTTCGTCCTGGATTACTGAAGGTCGACCACATCGGAATCGTGGAGAAAAATTTGCCAAAAATCGCTCAACGACATCGTATAGTAACAAGCTGAAACGAGACAAAATATTAGAATTTTGAAAAAAATTAACCACACAGTAGAATAAATATCCATTGAGATATGGAGCTGCAAAAACACACGACATTAAAACGGACAAACATTTTGAAACAACCTAATACCTAATTTATGACACGAACCTTGAAATGCAATTGCAATGTCTCTTTTTATTTCAGCCTCTTCGAGCAGGAGATTATGTCTTATGTTCCTGCGGTTACTGTAGACACCAGGGCGAACACTACTACTAGAAGTCCCAGGGGTTCCCCCCAGCCATCTCCCATTGCATCGCCGGGCTTGAGTAGGCATCGGGTACCTGCCCCCCACAAAAGAGATTTTGAGGCGAAGCTGAGGAACTTCTACAGAAAATTAGAAAGCAAAGGATATGGACAGGGACCCGGAAAGTTCAAGTAAGTCAGACAAATCTGTACATGAACTCTACAGTGGGTTCAGTAGCGTTCCCTGGGGAACCTCTTTCTCTGTGTCAGATTTACGCTCATACCGATATTTTTTCTATAGGTTACATATCAGGAGAGAACATCTTCTGGAAGACGCTTTCAGGCGTATCATGTCTGCCAACAAAAAAGAACTGCAGAAGGGAAAGCTTTGCGTTGTATGGGACAATGAAGAAGGTCTCGATTATGGCGGTCCTTCTAGGGAGTTTTTCTTTTTGCTTTCAAGAGAGCTTTTCAATCCGTATTATGGTCTCTTCGAATATTCTGCCAATGATACTTATACCGTTCAGATCTCACCGATGTCTGCCTTTGTTGACAACTACCACGATTGGTAAGTACCATATTTGTTAAATAGAAGGTATATTTATATTATTTATGAAACAAAAATGTTTCCTATATTATTCAGTGAACAACAATTAATTTCCAGTTATTGTAACTCAATGTTGATTTATTTGAAGATGAAAGAAGGTTATCTGTCTTAAGACCAACTTTGTTTCTCAAACGTCGATTCTGTCAAACGTCTGATTGTGTTCAATTATTTTCAGGTTCAGGTTTAGTGGTAGAGTATTAGGTTTGGCTCTGGTGCATCAGTACCTTTTAGACGCTTTCTTCACCAGGCCGTTCTATAAAGCGTTGCTTCGCTTACCCGTAGCTTTGTCAGATTTGGAAAGCTTGGACTTTGAATTCCACCAGTCTTTACAGTGGATAAGAGAACATGACGTTTCTCTTCAGGGGGAGCTGGAACTGACGTTTGCTGTCACCGAAGAAGTTTTCGGACAAGTCTTAGAAAGGGAACTCAAGCCTGGAGGACGGAATGTTCCTGTTACGGAGAAAAATAAGAAGGTAAGAGGGTTTCTAAGAGACTAGGAATATTAGTATTGTTCAACAAAACGGTTGCATAAAACAAGACTCAATTTATTTGTTTGTTCTTGAATTGAGGTTTGTATTGAAAAAGTTTCTTGAGTTGGTTCAGGTTTTTGTTGATTTCGATAAAGTATAGATGAGTTTCGAGTATATAGAATATAATTTGGAAATGTACAATATCAAAACCTATTGTGGAGTCATAAAGGATTGAGTTCGATGCAATGCATGAGATAAAACTAGTGTGTCTATATGAATAGAACTAGCGAATAATATCAAAATATGCAATATTTATATTGCAACTTCAATACTGATAACAGAAAGAGAAATGTTAGTGTATTACAGTAGATTACATCTGGACGAAATAACGGTGAACAATACTGTCTTAGTACCAAGTGTATGCAGTTACGAGGTCTATTCAAAAATAAGGTGAATGTACAAATTTCATGGAGTTCTTGCCACATGGTCGTGCGGTCAATAAGGAGTATTATCTTCAAATAATGCGGCGCTTGCGAGAAGCAATACGAAGAAAAGTCCGGTATTGTGGAAAAACAATTCATGGCTTTTGCATAACGATAATGCACCTATTAACTCGTCATTGGTTTTTCGTGATTTATTGGCCAAAAACAACACCGTAGGTGTACCTCAGCCACCGTATTCGCCAGATTTCCTACCACTTTTTCCCGTTACCAAAATTGAAGAGACCCATGAATGGATGGCGTTTTGGTAGGATTGAGGAGATAAAAACCGAATCGCTGAGAGAGCTCAAGAACATACCAAAAGGTACATACGAGGGTTGCCTTTTATATTTCGGGATTAGAGAACAAAAACAAATATTAATAATCGAAAATCACTTCATTGGTTTTCAATATATTCCCTTTGAAGATCTATACACTTTTTCATGCGTTGGAACCAAATATCGAAGCACTTTTGCCACTCTGATTGAGGTATCTCATGCATTCTGAATACAGCAACTGCTTCTACAGGTGTCGAAAAACGTTGACCTCTCAGTTTGTTTTTTACGTGCGGGAATAAAAAGAAGTCATTCGGTGCCAAGTCAGGACTATACGGCGGATGACTCACCAAATTGATGTTTTGGGTGCTCAAAAATGCAGTTGTTTGAGCCAATGTGTGAGAGCTCGCATTGTTGTGGTGAAGAGTGATCCGTCTTCGGCGGTTGGTTTTCCTGATTTCTTGGAAAACAACTGGCAAAAAACTGGTTGTGTGCCACTCAGAATTGACTGTTCTGCGTTGTTCTAGTGGTACTGTTGCGACATGTCCAACTTTTGTTGGATATGGCTCATCTTGAAACACCCATACAGTCGACTGCTGTTTCCTTTCGGGCTCATACGCGTAAATCCACGATTCATCACCTGTCACAATGTCATAGACGTGTCTCGAAGTACCGCGATCGTATTTTTTGAGCACTTCCTTCGACCAATCGACACGAGCCTTTTTTTGAGCGATTGACAAATTGTGTGGGATCCAACGCGAACAAATTTTTTTGACAGTCAAATGTTTATGCAATATTGAATGTATGCTGTTCCAACTAATGCCTAAAGTTGTCACAATCTCACGATAGGTCACATGACGCTCTTGCAATATCAGTTCGCGCAGAGCATCAATGGTATTCGATAAACACTGGTCCTTGATGTAGCTTCATCGCCAAAAATTAAATTAAGTTCATCCATGCACTGTTGCTGAGTTAATCCACGTCAAAAGTTGTAAAAAATAATCGCACGAAAATGTTCACGATTTAATACCATTTTTGGTCCGAGATGAATCTCTTAAGCTACTGTAAACAACACAAATAGCGCGCGTATGTTAAAACGTTCTGAGTTATAAGCTCAAAAATGTCCAACTTTGCGATAGAGCTATCAGTTGCCAGATTGCAACACTCGGGTTGCCAAATTCCGAAACATATAAGGCAACCCTCGTATCAGAACTGCTTCGAGGTTTGAAAAAACTCTAGCACAAGTTAATTATATCTGAGGTGGACTACTTTGAAGATGATAAAATAGAAATTGATGAATAAATGAAGATTTTTGGAGAAAAATGAAAATTCACCTTATTTTTTCAAAAGACCTCTTATAATGATATTTATAAAGTAATTGAAACAAACCTGAGCCCTTAATAGTAACTACTAAATACTTTTCTGAATGAGTAATCAAATTATTTTTCATGTCTATATATTAGATAAAAACAGTCTTTTTTTAAAATTTCTACACAACAGGTTTTCTATCACATATCAAGTATACGATTGAGAAGTAAAACAGGCGTAGAATAAAGCCAAAACAATCACTGCTCCTAAACACTAGAACGGAAACATCTTTCTCGACGTGCGTTTCACCAAACAAGTTGGCGCCTTCCACTTCATTTAAAGAACTTCAGAATAAGACATTTTCACCAACCCTGTTGTTAAAACGCATGTTGAGAAAATTGTTGCAGTTCAGGTGTAGTAGTACTTTTACTTGTACTCTCAACTTTGTTATTCATTTTCAAGAAATGCAATCACGGTTTTTTATCATTTTCATCAGGAATATTTGGAGAGGATAGTCAGATGGAGATTAGAAAGAGGAGTGTCTGAACAGACGGAATCTTTGGTGCGAGGCTTCTATGAAGTCATAGATCCTAGGTTAGTGAGCGTCTTCGATGCGAGAGAGCTAGAATTGGTTATAGCTGGTACGGCAGAAATCGACTTGTTCGATTGGCGACACCACACAGAGTATAGAGGAGGATATCACGACCAACATCCGGTTGTGATGTGGTTCTGGGAAGCTATCGAAAGGTAAGACATATCTCAATAATAGTCGATTTGAAAATGACACTAACCCGAATCTACAATCAATTAACATGTTTTCTATGCTGATATTTCAGTAGGCCATATATAAAAATATCAATGTTTCTAGGTTTTATCAGGGAAAACAAATTATAAATTATTTTTTATTTGGTCGTAATTTTGTAAGTGCAGATTTCTGGCATATTGTCGATGGAGTATGAAATATGTAGAAAAATTATTGGACTTGCAGGTATCTCCAAACTAAATATGATGTAGTGATAATTCGATTCAAACTATATTTTACTGAGGAAATTAAAGATTTAAGATATTTTATTCATCATATCCGTTTTTTGAAATATTCAATATAAAATGACTGTGTTTGTTTATTTTTTTGTTTTCGATAGGTACTGCTGTTGATACTTGAAAATACTATTGTTTCTTATTTTGTACATACATTGTGCATTGTACCACATATTCATCAACTAGTGAAACTTCATGTAAACCAAATTAACAACAGTAAATTGACAGATTTCTACAAACGATTTTACAAAATTGCAACATGTATTTCACAACAAAGTAACTTTTACAAGCATATTCAGTACGATATATTATTGTGTCACCTTGAATTTTATTGATATTTCTACTGTCTGCCATTAAGAACAATACAACTTTTATTTCGCTTCAGTACTGATTTTTGCTCCATTTTCCTCCTCAATCCATGGTGTCCTCAGATAATTTTTGTGGTATCATCGTCTCAAACTATATATTTTTTTATTCACTATTCATTTTCTATACAATACTGCAGATCTAATTACTTCATACCTTCATATAGTTTTCCTCTGACATTTTTTTGTCTCCATATCAAAATTCAAACAAATATAGAAAATTCCTAGAATGACTTCACTAACACTCATGGAAATTTTGCTTCTCCTATGTTCAAAAGTGAGACAAATTGAGTCTTCAGATTTCCCTAGCTCGTAAGAAAAACCCAGGCATGTCATCATTTCTTGTGTATTTATTCGTCAAATGTCTTTGGGATCAGTGCCAACAAAATTGTAACAGTCATCATATTGTTTTATTTTCGAGATGGTATGCTGGATACACAAACAGAACACAAATTTAGTTTATTCTCCATCTGCTAAATGAAACAACAAGTTTAGTTTCAGACATATCATCCCACCTCAATTCTAGTCGAGAATTCGCTATGTGAATAATTCAGTCACTTTGGTAACACTGTTGCGACAATTTTCAAAGAAACAAAGTTTTGACAGAAACTCAAGGAGTCTTATACAGAGTAAAGTCAAGAAATTAGGCGATGGTGCCGACGTAGATACTCCAGTCATTGATCTTTTCACTGTGTAATTTTGCCAAACAGCTTCGATGTTCATAGTTGGCCTGAAATGGGGTTTCTTTTACTCTGGGGGTGTATGCCGCTTCTTCTTGAACGTGTCAAATGTTTCAGTGAAAATAAGTCAGGGAGTAGATAGATTGATTGACTCTTAGCAACTATAAAGTTTTTTGAATGTCAAAAGACTTATTTTCATTGAAACATTTTTCACCCCCGGATAGGGGTGGTATCGACCTCCGGTCAGGATAAACTTCCTAGGTAGGGTAAGTGGATTTTAAATCCTATATCAAATCAGTACTGTTAGGCAAAATTATACGGTATCACTCTATTTTAACTTCAAAGATTGGACTAAGAAAGTTGTTATTGCCATCTTGGTATGTTGTTGATGCATTAAAAAAAAAATAAGAACTGTTCTCGTCTAACTCGAAAGCCCTGAAAAAGCTCTGGTAACCAATCGAAGACAACATTTTCGCCGTTTGCTTTTTTCAAAATGAAAAACTTCATATAGACATATGAAGAGTCTTTTGATATTTTTTCATTCGTCCGGCCTCTGACGCTATCTGATGTTCGTATTTATTAATTACCTTAGTACCTACTTTAAGTTTTCCAGTTACTTACGATGGATGAAACTAAGACATACTTTTGAAAATATTAAATACGACGATCACGACTAATTTCGCTTTATTCCTCAGTAAACTCATTGATGACTTTCCAAAATTCTTTCACTTATTTCACTGCTTTGTTTTATATTTCAAATTCAATAAAATTAATCTGGCATTAAGTGTCCTGAAACTTTTCCTTTATGTAAGCTTCAAATAATGCAGTCATACCTCCATCTGGTAACCTCACTTCCAGTTCAGAACGTCTTCAGCTTCAACGTATTCCTGAAATATAAAATTCTCTTCAACGTCACCTCTCCACAGCCGGACTAGGGATTATAACACTAAGTTAACAAACCTCCCAACAGGTCAGGGTTTGTTATATAGGAAGGACTTGCTCTCAACATGCTGCCCCACAACATTATCACTCCTCCTTTAATTTTAGAATAGATCTAGCAGCCTGAATTCTAGTTTGTTTTTCTAGAGCTCTTTGAATCCGAAGTCGATGGTTGTCTGATGTGCTATTCTGGTTTATTTTGTGGAGCTGAGAAATTCTGTGAATTATCAACTGTCTGCTAGTATTGTTGTTGGTACAAAAAACCAGTTTATTTTGTTTTGACAACTCTGGAAATGTTGTCATATACTGCTATATAAACTCCTATCATGAGGTCTCTTCCTTCAGCAATCAAAATAAGCTTGATGACTTGTATCAAATACCGAGTGATTTCATAAAAGTTCTGTGTATTTAGGATGTACAATAGATAATCTTCTACATTTGAAAAAGAACCGCTTGGAAGACTATTCTTTCATAAGGGCTATATATCAAAAGTATTCGCGATATTTGTCGAATTCTTACCAAGTTTGAATTTTCCAGATTCAGCAACGAGCAGAGATTGAGACTCCTCCAGTTCGTAACCGGAACATCGAGCATACCCTTCGAGGGCTTCGCAGCCTTGAGAGGCTCCATAGGACCTCGTAAATTTTGCATCGAAAAATGGGGCAAGCCCAACAGTCTTCCAAGGGCGCACACTTGCTTTAATAGGCTAGATCTACCACCCTACCCTACTAGTGGGGTTTTGTACGAGAAGCTATTACTTGCCGTCGAAGAAACCAATACGTTCGGCATCGAGTAAATGGTACTTAACAGTAATACTTTTTGATTTATTTCTTTGGAAATCTTATTATGATTAGTGGGTTGTTTCCGAATGAGTTAATATTTAAGTTGTTTGGAAAGATTAGGTTCCTGCGCTTTGTTGAGCCAGTATTAAGATGATGGAGTTTCGACTATATTTACTTACCAAATAATAATTTTAATTACCTGTACAGTTTTGTTTGGAGCCATTCAGGTTAAGTTTGTAAAAAGTTAATTTATTTGTGAATAACATATTTTCTGTTATAAATCAGTCATAATATTTATACATTTATTAATGGATGTCTGCGTGCAGGGTATTCTATTGATGGTCAATGTAAATCGGGTCTGGTGTATCAGCCGGTTATGTATATCCTAATAATATATTTTCGCTGTATGAATTTAAATTATTTCATAACTTAGGTCAGATTTTGATATTGTTGTATTAATTTATTTCATGTTTAGTTTTAATAAGTTACCAATGATTATTCTGTTTAAGTAGTATAGCATGTTCAAGTTAATAATGTTGTGATTTCTTTAATTCTAGTCAGTAAATAATATATATTCAGTTACTTGCACAAACGCCGTTTTCGTTGTGGAAATATTAAGATCACGGCCATTTTGGTGATTTTTGCATACATGGTTTGTAACATTCCAGAAAATAAAAACATTTGTTATGTGGGACAGTCTTTATTTGAAACCATTTACCCTCTCCTTTTTCGCCTCGAAGCAATTCCCGCATGAATCATCAGGTAAAATGTTTTATGTTAAACAGTTTTATTGAAAAAAAAAGATAATAATGATGTAGATAATGTACTAAAAACCAAAATATAATTCGGAAGGTTCTAGGTAGCTGTCATCACACCACTCTCCTCAGCAGTGTACGGTATTGACCAGATAAAAAAATAAAATCGTTGGGCCTGGTATTTACATATTTACTCAGTTTACGCTACGCCCAACGATTTTATTTTTTTTATCTGATAAATACCATAGGAGAGTGAGGAGAGTGGTGTGATGACAGCTACCTAAGACCTTCCGAATTATTTTTCAGCTTTTAGTACGTTATCTATGTTATTATCATCTTTTACTTTTCAATTGAACCATTTAACATGATTTTTTTCACTTATTTTATTTTAATGTTTTTAGTTTTTGATTTTGTTACTCAATTCTCATTCTGTTTAGTTCATTTAGTGCCTCAGTGTTACAAGGTTTATTTTCCGACAATTTGTTGCAATATAACTCCTCAATACATAAAGCTTCCAAAGACTTAACTCTAATTGGGACCACGTATACAAAAATGTGGGAATCTTCTTCGACAAAGTTAAAGACAGCTCACTAATTAGCTTTGCCATCACCCAAAGACGATTTTTTTATTTTTTGCACAATTTCATTTTATTGTAATTTCATTTCACGTTTTTATTGCTCGATATAATTGATATTTGTAGCTGATCATTTCAATTTTATTTGTTCTTTCAAAGATTTCAAATCACATCGCAAACATATTAGACTAAGGAAGCCCGAACTAATAAAATTCAGATATAATTTAGTTTCACTGTCCAGAGAAAACTAATTGAAAGAAACCAATTACAGAGAATCGCGATAATACATTGAATAATAGATGTCAATGGAATATCAATTACTAGTTTTAAGATAGTAAATTTTTTTGTAAATTTTGCATTTTGTGCTTCTTTCTGTTCATACGTTAATTTTGAACGCCACCGATTTTGTCTCTTAAATTTTTCAGCAGAAATCGACTTCAGCACTGATATATTGAAGTTTCATGATTATTGTGAGATATGAAGATTTCAATTGAATATGGTGTTGAAAAAATGTAGATGAAATTAGTGGAGTACAAGCATATTTTTTACTTCATAAAAGACACAACCACTTCTGAATCAATTATCACTGGCCATGTAATCAGATGAACATCAGTATTAGTATCACTCTATGAAATATAATTTTGCTGCTATTGTTATACTAATAATGGACTTTATACTACAGATTGATGACTGAAAGTCCTGGTGGTACCTGTGAACAAATATTTGCAGTAATACATCTGCAATATATCTACAGCTGAAAGTCAAACAACTAAGCAAAAGGGAGATGACATGTATACAAATGCAAAGTAAAAGTGAGTTGGTGATCCAATCCATTTAAAACAGGTTGCAAGTCGACCATTAACAATGAACACTTGAACATATTTCATATTACCTACTGATTAGAATTGTTGCCGTTGTTTCACACTCAGATAATGGGAACAGAAAACTGAGAAAAGGTAATCAATCAAACAAGAACATAGGCTTGCACAGTCGGTGTTAGGATTAGAAAGAAAATCCGAAATTTTATGAAGTAGTAAAAGGAACTTGTAGTACTAAACATTTATCTGCTACTGCAGAAGGTATCTTCAGAGACATTGGCGTTGACTGCGAGGATGATAATAGAATCAATGACTGACTTATTTTTTGAGAACAGTCCTTTCTGTTTGAGGATATTTCAGAAATTTTATTTAATTTGGCCTTCGACTTCAGTTCCGAACTTTCTACGATGACAGGATGACACCCAGTGCAACACCACACGTTAAACGTACCAAACATCAAACGAACAAAGAATATATTTGACATCTGACAGCTTTTCGACATCTGGGGTTAGAATTTGATTTAATTTTGGGTCTACTTTTAAATAACGTTAAAACAACAATATGTCTTCGAAAAACACACATTTCACCGAAGAAGATTTAGAAAAGTTTGACTGGTTAACTTTGAGAAAAGACATGGATGCTGCCCTTCCTATAGAAACATTTACTGAGAAATTTATAAGAAAGTTTAAGGAGAACCCATTCGTTCCCATTGGTGAGCTGGAAGATTATAATTCAAGTTGTGAATAAATCATTCCAAGTTTTAAATAGCTGTTTTGAGCTTGAATACATTAAATTTATTTGGCAGGATGTGCTGCAACCACAATAGCTCTCAGTTATGGTGTATGGTGTCTCGGAACTGGCAAGAGAAAGATGTCACAGTATATGATGCGAACAAGAGTTGTTGCTCAAGGCTTCACCATACTGGCTATGGTGGCTGGTGTCACTATGACTGCACAGAAAAACTTCAAAATTTAATTCAGTTTAGACATTGTATGTAGCCACTGTATATAATTTTAGAAAGGTTGATATTATTTAGTTCCAATATTACAATAGATATATTATCCCTTCCATTGGTGCACATAACAACCGCGTTTTATTGAATTATCAAGTTCTTATCCTTACTGAAGCATGTATGAGAGATCAAAAGGACAATTTTAAGCTGTCTTTATTTTAGTGCCACTGTTTCTGAAATTGAATAAAACCTAGGAACATGATAACTACGAAAAGCTGAAGACAGATCGTAACATTCCAAAGCAAAGTGGATGTTGATAATGATGGCAGACAGATACACATATTTTAAGGTTCTATAGGTTTATAAATTTATATATTCTGAAAAGTAGAATATATATTTAAGGAGGATTGGTTCAAAATATAGGGTGGACAAAAGTTATTGCAAAATATGAACTTTGTTAAAAATATTCAATTTGCATTCATGCTTCACTTTTAAGGTTATAAGTTACATGTGCAAATTGAAGTGGGGCAACATTTTTGTTTCCACTAACATTGATTTAACTTCCTATAACTTATGACTTTAAACAGGTGCACGAGTCCATCCTTTGAATTTTTCCAATTAAACAAAGATAAACATGTTCTTTTTCTATCAAAATCTGATGGTTTGGAAAATAATCGTTGTCAAATATTGGTTTCTACTCAAATCGTTTTGATTTCAAGAATTTGTTGTTTAGACGTCTGTCAAATGCCTAGGTGAAAAAATTTATAAATATTACTGAATACATAATTGAATTTTTTATATACTTGTACAGCCACTTAATTACTTTAATTTTCCATTTCTTGAAAGTTTTTTCTCCATTTAAACCAATTTCAATTTCGTTCTAATATTTATTTTTATTATTTCTGTAGTTTTTCTTTGATAAGTGGAAATGTCTCCGTAAATAAATGAGTGAAGTTTCTAGAAATTACGTTCCATGCGATTATGTTCTCAACAAATTCCAGAGAGTATGAAAATCTATTGTTTTTCGAGTCCAATTTACGTTAAAACCGCCATATCTAGATTTATTTTATAGCACATTGTTCTGTGCGTTACTATATTTGTCATCAGTGTCAGTTATTTTCACTCAAATAGCTTGCAGATTATCTCAATGAACATTCTGCAAATAAAACTGAAAGATGTGCTATCACCAGCGACATACTACAACTGATGCTAATGTAAATCATATAGAGTAATGAAATGAAAAAAAAAATGAAATTGTTTCATATATGGTGCACTTACTTTGATATGGAATTATACAAACATGTGTTCTGTGCAACATGATCAGGAACAAATTTAATATTTTCATTGTATCTTGACACAGAACACTTATAGATCAATTGTTATCTTTCTAGTGTTTGCATATCATCTACAATAGCAGTGTAATTTATAATCTTCTTTTTAAAAATGCAAATTTTTTACAAATATTTGAGAATGACTTGGTGTTGAATTAGGCATTATCATGTCACCGGAAATGTGTCGTCAACTCTTCTCTGTATGTGATAACACAAATTTCACCAGAAGTTAATAATTTTGCAAGAAATACCCAGACAAGTATGATTGATCTTGGAGCTTACCGAGCACATTTTTCCTCGCTCTCTTAAATACCGACGCTTGCCAAGCGGAGTGAGCTAATCGAGCGCACCGATATGTATGAAACGAACATATCTTAGATGTGTTCTGTTTTGAAAATCTGGAGTTGAGCGAGCAGATGCAGATTTGATACCACATGATCACAGAGTCAACGGTGTGAAATATATTTAAAGAACGCTCGATTATGTCTGAATGACAAGTTGACATTTGTGGTATTATTTGTCACAACAAAACCACAAAACCTCGAAATATCGTTGAAGTTTTATTCTGCAACAGAACGGTAATTTTTAATTTTCTATTCAAAATGCAAACATTTGTTTCAAATATTCAACAATGAATAGCGTTAAAAAAGCCATTATTATACATTTGAGAATTTGTCATTAACTCTCTTCTTAAAAAAGTGATGTGCCGGCAAACAAAAGTAAAAAATTTCATCAAAAGTTATTAGTTTCCATGAAAATACTTAACACTCTAACATTCTCTTCGAACTCGACATACACCTATAAAACCTATTTTATTTCCCGTTTTCGTAAATACCGAACAAAGAGCAGATGTTGGTAACTTAGAAAACAGATCTACATTATCGACTGTTTTCCGGGCGAAGCGAGCTAATCGAGCACACAGATTTTTATTAAATGAATGTAAAATATGGTAAAATGAATGTAAATGCGCACAGTGGGGTATTTCATTTACAGAGAGGATTCTTAAGCAGGTTGTCGTTAAACTTCCGAACGCTAGATGTCGGGCCAAACCCAAGGTACACAATTTTTACTCTATGCACTTTTACCACAGTATAGCATCCTACTTTTTACCGTCCTCGGTTGGCTATCTTGTCAGTTCAGTTTGTTGTACGAAACTCATGAGAGCTAGAGCATAGCAAGCTGCGTTCGGCGCTGTGTCGGCTTGATTGTGTTCTGTTTTTATGTTTTCTTCAATATCTTGTTGCCCCGTGTCCTATCGATAGAAAGTGCGTGTGTAAATTGTTGAATATGTAAAAAAGTGTACAAGTTCGTTGATCTGTAAATTCGCTGGACAGTGATTCTTACTGAAATCGAACGTTAAAATTTGAATACGACCGTTCAACATAACCTTTAACAGACAGCTGTTTGGGATCGGTGTTGGCCAGGTAAATGCAGACGGCATTTGTTCCCTAAAGTTGAACTGTTGAGTTTGATCGTTTGTGACATTTTGTAATCAGTGCCTGAGAAATTTCGGAAAAATGTTGGAATTTACGACTTCTAGAGATGGTCTTCTGCAGATCGAAGACGACGTATTGTGTTCTGTTGTCCAGAGAGAGTCAATTTCAAGCGTGTATGATGTGGATAAAACACCACTTGGCAGGTATGATATTATTACTTTTAGAAAACCAGTGAATTTTATCTTATCCTGTGATAAGATAAATTACTTAACCCTAGCCTGGATAAAAATTTTCATGAAGCTGTTTTGATAAAATAATAATAGCATTTCAACATTTAGATTTGAGGTACATGAAGAAATGAATACAAGTGTACTAATGATGAATGTTATTTGCTTTAATTGTAAATGGTATTTTGTGAGAGATTATGATGATAAATAATGCGAAACATGCAAAATTTTACGTGAGTCACACCATGGGTAATCATTCAGAATAGAAACTCAGTAGAATGAAATGAGTCAGGCCTACCTATTATGAGAAATATCGAGAATTTAATTAGTTGTTTCAAACTGAATTTTGAGTATTATAAATATAAGATCTATTCTTTAATCTGATGTTAAGCTTACAATTTTGAGGTATACCTGAGGGCTCCAGCTGAATTGTCAAAATTGATAAGACCATTTGTTATTCATTAATTCCATTATTGTTTTGAAATCACAGTCTTACCAGTCTTCTTCTCAACAATGAAATTTGAAACTATTATCATAAAACTGAATAAAATACCTTATCAAGCTATTTAATTCTCAGAACAGATTGATCTAGAATTTATATGATTTCTAAGTAAGTTATAGATATTTCTCGAGATATTCCATTGTGCAATTATTTAAGTGTATTTGTTGAAAAATTAGCTTTATTATATGTCTGGATATTTCTAGTTGGTTTTTATGTTTTACATAAATCAGAACAATTTTGAGGCGGCTGTAAAGCTGAGTTTGTAATGAAAAGGTGGAGTTATATGCTTTCTTCAATAGATATTTCCAATAAGTTGATAAAATTATTAAACATGGACTGATTATTCCATGGATTAAAACCATACAGGCATATCATATGGAAACACTTAATATACTTAACTGTGTTTATTGAAAGCTGTTGATGAAAGTGATAGTAACTATCTCCACAAGTGTATTGATTGTGGCGTGATTGGGCCTACAATAATTCATCTGTAAATGAACAAAATCGATACTGGGAAATATGTCGTGTAATCAAAATTGATCTACACTGTTTTGTTATCTCACTAGAAGTAAGACACATGATGATTGTCACTGCAACATTTTTATTAACGTGAAGTTAGCCACATATTTCTAGCCACACTTTCTGACGTAGGGAAACTCTAACGTTGGATAGAGGAGCAAACACAGGCGGTGTTGTCATATTGTTTTTCTTCGTTAACTTCCTACGATCAACATTTCTTAAGGTAATTGGAGTCGGGTAGTGATGTAATTCGATACGATACCTCTAATCATTCACAATTCACTCAATATATTTCGAATGCCAAAATTTCGCAAATATGGGTACATGTCTGAGATGATATAGGTATAGACCTTACTAATTTGTTTGACCCTTAGAGACAGAAAAAATTAATTCTACGGGAGACTATCAGTAATCCACCCGAAATATTTTGAGTGTCGGAAATTCTAGAGTTTCTCAAAAAAGGTTAGGTATAAGTATACGGGTTGAAATCAATTTGTTTTCTCGCAGAATAGCGATCGGTCAGTAACAAAAGTGTGGCTGGGCAATAAGTACCAAATATAATTGTTATGTTGAAAAAGTTGATTGATTGTTCGACCAAAGACATATCAAAGTTTACAAATACGTGACTTGAACAATTTGTTTGACCAAAATTAACAGAAAAAAAATTTTGAAGGCATAGTAGCAATCCATTTGAATTGTCAGAAATTCTTGAATATGAAATTCTCATAGAGGATTGAGTGAAATTGCCTTCCGATTTCTTTGGATTGCCGTAGGAAACTTGGGAAAAAATTAAAAC